ACAAGGGGATGAGAACCCAGGCTGGTGGCTGAGACAGGAGGATTGCAAATTCAGGCTCAGTCTGGGCTAAAGGGCAAGTACCTGTCTATAATGTCAATAAAAATGGGGATAAGGGACAGCGCTTTTGCCTAGCATGTATGAAACTGTGAACTCAGTCTCCAGGGGTGGGGTGGGAGAGTCCTTTGCAGAGTCCCGAGACTGGTTGGTCCTCCCACTGCCCCCAGGCAGCCATTCCACCTTAGTCCTTGCCCAAGAAAAAGACAGTCCACACCACCCGACAGTGCATTCAAGAGCAGACATGGGCTCTACTCTCTTGTTGGCAGAAGAGTAAGGGTGACTTTGAGAGGCTGGGAGCTATCTAGGACACACTTCAGGAAGCCCCTGAGCCCGTCCCACCCCACATCTCCAGAGACCCACTCTTGCTGTCTCCACAACACCTTGCTGTCCTGACCAGGATGGGGCCAGCTGGAGGGCGTCTCTCCATTTTTGCTCATGGCTCTCAAAGAGAGATCTGGAAATGAGTGGGCTGGGGGTGATTCCCAACTCGGTTCTCTGCACAGCATCAGTACCTTTCCTTGCTGACTCCCTTGCTGCTAGGGGATCGAGGAGGGTCAGCATGACTCAAGCTCGGCAAATGATCCTAATGGGCCAGCCACTGCAGTGTTGAGCTCGAGTCAGAGCCCTATTCATGAAGCCAGAATCCTAGGTATGAGGGGCATGGTGGCACAGGCCTGTAATCCCATCTGCTTGGGATGGGAAGCTACAGCAGGGGGAACACAGATTCAAGGCCTGGCTGGGCCTCAGACTGAGTTCAAGATCAGCCTGAATAACTTGATGAGCCCTTGTCTTAAAATCTAAAACTGTACCACAATGATGGGCACTTGCCTTGAATACATGAAAATTTGGTTTTGAGTCCCAGCACTTAAAAAGGGATGCCACGTCAAGGCAAGAGGAGTTGGGGACTGTCCAGGGTCACACCCACAAAGGTACTAGCCGTGCCTTCCGTGTATGGATTAAATGAGCCAGTGCAAGCTTAGCATTTAACCCGATGCCTGGCACACAGAAAAGCACTCAAAGTGAATGTAGTTGCTGTTGTCATCCTTATGATCCTGCTCACTGACACCAAACAGTGAGGTCTCTAGGCCCTTCCTGTTTACCAGACAGGACCTGGCCCACCTGGAGACAGCTAAGGCTAGCCTTTTGTGAGCTGTGGGACTCCAGGGAAAGCCCTCCCTGATGCCCACATCCTAGGTTTCCTTCTCCCTGAGTAATGAGGTGGTTAGATAGCCCACAGGGTCCCCCCCAGTTTGGAATCTCTGATTTCCATAGCAAAACAAAACTGTTCCCGTCAGAAGGCTTAGGAGCGGGTGCCTGGCTGGGCTGCAGTAGACAAAGGCGCCCTGTAGACATGGTGCCTCCAGTCCTTGAGCTCTGTACCCAGATCCCACAGCTTCCAAGAATCACAATTAGACATCCTTGCTTGAAAGTCCTCCTCTGAGCTTGTTCCTGGAAGTGGGGGAGAGGGTGAGGGCGGGCATGGGTGGGGGAGTGGAAGGGATGGTGAGTAAGAGACCAGCATGAATGAGCGTGGCAGGGAAGAGGACGCAAGGAAGACGAGGAACACGGGACTGGAGAGGAGAGTGGAGACGTGACGGGAGGGGAAACTGGAGATGGAGTCCGGGACTCGGAGAAACAGGAGCCAGGAACAACTGCGGCTTTTGCCTTCCTTCTGCCTGGGTGCAGCTGAACAGAGGTAAGCATCTGTTTGCTTAACCAGAGTGCACGGCCCGGCCCAGGGAGACTACACACTGCTGCTCTGCAAGGGAGTCCCAGCTTTTACCCCTCCCCCCCCCCCCAGTCTACACTGCAGTCCCTTTGGCCTGGAGACACCCCAGGGGTTGACTTTCTGTCAAACTTTCCCATGAAGCAGCACTCTTACTTTCCCAAGGGATCCCACTCTAAACTGGGCAGCAGTGGACTCTGTTGTCATGGTAACTGGCATGGAGTCCTAAGTGAGTCACATAAAGCCTTGCCTCCTGCAGTCCCTGGGTCACACTCTGATGACACCACCATTGATTAAGCGGCCCTGACTAGTGCTGGGAGTCCGGCTCTGCCTGGTCAATGCCCGTGACAATGCTGTGCCTTGCGACTTCTCATCGCAGAGAATCCCACAGTCCGTCTTCACCCTGAAGAACGTGTCATGGGAAAGGTCATAGAGGGTTTCAGCTCTCCCACTTAGCATGACCAGGGGAAGCTACTGGTTTGTTGAATGGTGAGCTCCTTATCTCTAAAACAAGAATAGCAATGTTGTAGGCTTGCTGTGAAGATTAAAGGACATATCATGAATAACGTCACATAGGCCTAACAGGACAGTGAGTAGTAGAGATGCCACCTGGAACCAGGCTTCATCCCTGGGCTGTATCTGTTTAAGAACTAAAGACACACAAGTCCGGATGGAGGTCTCCAAAGGCGTGACTCCTGACCCAGGTGCCCATGAGGGTGACCAGCAAGGTGCCCTGGTGGGTGTGAGGAGTCTCCTCTGCCTCTTCACCCTGCCCCACCTTCAGCCACTTGCAGGGCCCCCTCTTGGGTGGGGTGGTTAGGGCAGAGCAGGGCGGGATGAACCAGAGGCGGCAGGAGTCGTTATCAGGTGGCCCAGGCTGGAGAGGGCTTCAGCAGTCTCCTTATCAGCTCCCTGAGGACCCAGACTGGGATGCACTGGCTTATCAGCAGGGCCTGGGGTGGCAGAGCCGGGTCCCCTGCGGCTACTGCTCGGGCCCTCCTGCTGGAGCCGCTAAGAGCAGGCATGGCAGTGGCCTTCTGGGAAACAGACACCAGGCTTGCTGCCATCCCTGCCATCAGGTTATCTTAGCTAACCATTTCACTCCCTAGCCCCTAAACCATGACTGAAACTGGAGGCTGGCAGTGGGCTGTGGGATGAAGGGCCTCTGACCCCTTCCCTCCTCTAGGAAGGTCAAAGCCAGTGACATTCCATGAGGTTAATGACTCTTGTGGGGACCCCTGGGCTGAGCAAAGGGAAGTGACATCTATCTACTCTGGCAGACAGAGCTGAGTAGTCGGTAAGTCACTCAGCTTTGCTTTGTCTTACCCTACAAGTCTCAACATGAGGACCACTTTGGAGATGTTTTTGAGTATCTCTTACAGGCTCCAGGAGTTGGCTGGGATTCTGAGCAGGGTGATCCAGCTACAACTTGGCACATGGTCTTCCTGGCGCTCACTCTGAAGGTGGCAGGGTTTTTGGGGCATGTGGAGAGTAAGCCCCATCATGGGGTTCTGATAACAGCTCTCATCTTATCTGTTGGCCAAGGACTGGGTGGGGTACATCTGAGAACCAGAGGCAAGTTCTGCAGAAAGGTGGGGACAGAAGCCGAACCCTTCCAGCCTGGAGGAGGGACATATGAAGGTGGTCTAAAGTTTAGGGGAGGGCAATGGGAAACCAAGGACAGGTGGGCTAGGTCCCTCTCAGAGCTGTAGAAATTCTCAACCAGGAAGAATAGAAACCCAGCATCCTCACTCCAGAGCAAGAAGTGACTGCCTTTGGGGAAGTCAGGACCTCTGAGAATCCTTGCCTAGTGGGGAAACAGGCCTTAAAAGTCAGGGAGGATAACGTGGTTTAAGCCTCTGAGGGCCCGTTGCCCGAGGCTGGATGAATCTCCTGTATACCTGGAGGCTAGGAACCAATAAACATAGCCAGACAGAGCTGCAGGGAGAGAGTCTCCCCAAAGCCCCTAGTGGAGCTGGGACTTCAGCAGGTGCCCTTAAAGCCAGGAAATTGCAGCTTTGACCCAGGCTCCTGGGCCCCTCTATTCCTCTGGCCCAGGCCCAGGCTACCTGGAGAGCTCTCCTTCGGAGGAAGTCAGCAGGAACCCCCTGACGGCCACATTCTTGCCATCTGCTTGAAGGTGGGGTGTTATCCTCTACACACACGGGACACCCGTCGACACACACCTGAATTCAGTGGCTCAAGACGACTTCTGTCCTTGGCTGCCATGTAACCACAGAGCTCTGTCTTGGCTCTACATTTAAATGTGCCCCCTAATGCCCAAAATGTGGTCCCTGGCACCATCTGAAAGGGCCAGGCTGAGCTGAGCTTTTTAAATCTAGTTTTTACGCTATTTACTTATTTATTTAGAGATAAGGTCTATCTATGTAGTCCCAGCTGTCCTGGAGCTTACTATCTAGACCAGGCTGGCCTCAAACTCACAGAGGTCCTCCTGCCTCTGCCACCAAAGCATTGGGATTAAAGGGGCTGGGGCATCCAGGGACAGGTGCAGAGGGATGGGGGAGCTAGTGGACAGGAGCCGGGGTGGGGCTGGGGAGTTGATAAGGGAGTGAAGCTGGCCTTGGTTGTCTGAAGAGCTGGAGAGAAGGCCTGTACTGCACAAGGCCGCACCGTGGTCACTAGTAAAGCCAGAGTTTAAATGTGCTCCATCAAGCACCCCAGGGACCTGAAGACTCACAGGACCTAGGATCACACCAGGGACAGGTGGAGTATGGGGGTACATCAAAAATGAGATGCGGTTGTAGGAAAGACGCAGGCTTAGCATAAGACTGAGCACCCCACGTTCCTCCAGGTCTCTTAGCGCGGCCGCTGGAAGGGTACCCACACCTAGTCAGAAGGCCTAGTCACAAGATCTAGTGCTGCAGTGCTAGGTGCCCGAGCGAGACTTGCGCGTTCCCGGGCAGTGGGTGCCCTCTGCAGCCAGGTACAGGTACTGCAGGGCGGAGTCCGCGTCCTTCCCCAGTGCAAACATGACTGGTGGTTTTCTCTCACAAAACCCACCGCCAGCTCTCATCAGGAAGACTGGCTGCTGTTAATACTGTCCGACCATCATAAGGATGAGAGAAGCTTTAGTTTCCTGCCCAAGGTCACGGGGCCAGACAGTGATAAACCCTGTGCTTGAGTCTCCAGGAATTCTGGCTCACCCATTTCTGGAGGTCTTTGTCTCCAAGCCCTTTGAACAGGCCTGACACCCTCATCAGAAACCAACAATCAACATTTAATGAGGATTGGTGAGTGCCAGTGCTCCCACCAATGAAACAACCGGGCCTGGGCCCAAGTGGACCACGAGGATTCAGACGGGGAGGCATAGGTTCAGGTGGTTCAGACGGGGAGGCATAGGTTCAGGTGGTTCAGACGGGGAGGCATAGGTTCAGGTGGTCCAGGCTCTGTGTGCGCCCAGGCGAGCCTCGTCTAGGGGTCTCTGACAGCAAAGACAGCCGCGGGCTGGCATCGATCTAAACAGAGTGGGCACATGCAGGCACCCTCTAGCCTCCCCAACTCCAGCTCCCAGACAGCCCCTGTGCCCCACCCCCTCCCCAACTCCCTGTTGTTAGTTTCCAACACCTGCACAGCCACAGCCACAGTCATAGTTTGGGAGGGACCTGTGGTGACTCGGCCCCGTTGTGCTCCTCCCATTCTACGCCCATATATTTCAGTGAAATTAGACCGTGTGGAAAATTTTTGTCTAAATAAAGGAATATTCTTCAAAACAGTATAAACTGTAGGCTAATCTCTGTCCTCATTAACAGTCAAGGAAACTCCCCCAAACCTAGTGACCTTGTTTTTGGTAAGCGTTCGAGAGTGTTCTGAAGGCCAGTGACCACCCTCATTCAAGATCCCTCCACCAAGCTCCTGGCCAGCCCCACTTCCGGGGACTTTCCCACAGATGCCCTCTGCCTTCTTACCTCCCGGAGAACAATGGCAGCCTCACCACTTCCAGGGGGTCCCTTCCCTGATGTGTTCGAAGGTTGGGGCTGCAGCCCAGGGGGACCAGGAGGACACGGTGGTGAGGGCTGTGTCTTCTCATGGGCCCATCCTGTCCCCACTGGTCTTTGCAGACAGATAACTTCAGACATGTACCTAAAGAAGCAAACCAGATGAAAGGGGTCAACGCCCTTCTTAGCCAGAAGCCCGTCCTCCCTCTCTCAGTTTGGGGACATAACCCTGGGGGTCAGCCCTGCCCAGAGCTAGGCTAGCCTCTTCAGACTGCAGCTCCCTCACCCCCTCAAGCCACAAGCACTCCCAAAGGGCCCAATGGTCGGGGTGGGGTGGAGGGGTTGGGGTGGGGGTGCACCCAAAGGAAAGATCTGACCAGGGCAAGATCTGAGAACCCCGGAGTAAGGGGCCACTTCATCCACCAGCCCTGGGGTCCACCATTCAATGTCTCGTTTCGCAACTCACTTGGGACCCAGTGGTGCACACATAGTTAGATACCAGTTCCTGGAGAAGCCCTGGTCAAAGGGATTGTATTCTTGATGGTGCCTGCACTGGAGGGGTACGGGGATGGGAAAATGTCAGAACTGGCCAGTGCCTCCCCCAGCAGCCTGCCCTCAGCCAGTCAGCTCAGCTCCAGCTCCAGCTGCTCCGGGAAACCGGAGAGTGAGCGGGACTCCCAGGAAGAGCAGCCCGATTCTGCATAGCTCTGCCAAGGCTGATGTTGACACTGTACCCCCCCTCCTTCACCTTCTCACAGCTCTCTGTGTGCCCCAAGTATCCCTCCTTTGGTCCAGACAGACGTTCAGACCCTCTCTTAGCCACTCAGCCCCTCGGTAGACAGTCCCACCGCCCAACCGCCACTTCTTGGCTTTTCCCACCACCCCGTGTTGCCTTCTGAATGTCTGTCTCCGTTGAATGTCACCGTCTGCCAGGTTAGTCATAGTTGGATCAGGTTTCCCCAGCCAGAATCACATGGCCCGAGAAAACCCACTGGGGTGTGAAGGGTGATATGGCAAAGGCCAAGCTCAAAGTTCAAGTCCTCCTCTGGCCACTTCCTCTTTGGTTTGTTTGTTTGTCTGTTTTGAGAGAGGGTCTCATTCTGTAGCCCAGCCTTGCCTAGAACTCACTTTTGTTGTCCAGGCTAGCCTCAAACTTGCAGCTTCCAAATATGAAGCAATATTGTCCAAGACAGAACAGGACAAGCAGAAATGTGGAATCCAGAACTAAACCATGTCTCGATAGCCAGTTCTGCTTTTTAAAATAAATATGTAAAGCCACCACAATGGAGGAAGGATATCTTCCCAATAATGGTACAGATATGCAAACGGCAAATTTTGGGGACTGGAGACACAGCTCAACAGTTAAGAGTGCTTGTTGGTGGCACATGCCTTTAATCCCAGCACTCGGGAGGCAGAGGCAGGCGGATCTCTGAGAGTTTGAGGCCAGCCTGGTCTACAGAGTTCCAGGACAGCCAGAGCTACACAGAGAAACCCTGTCTTGAAAAGCCAAAAGGAAAAGACTCAGTGTTGTGGCAGAGGGTTCGGGGTCAGTTCCCAGCACCCACATAGAGGCTGTCACTCCAGCTCCAGGGAATCTGACCCCTCTTCTGAACTCTGCATTCACTGGGTATGCACATGGTACACAGATACACATCCAGTAGAAGATAACAAAAGCAAGCCGCATACAGAACTTCACCCCAAATAAAGCATAGATCTAAAGGTAGAATCTAAACCTGCAAAACTTCCATAGAAAAACACATGAATGAAATTTTGTGACCTTGAATTAGGCAAAGATTTAATGTTGACACCACCTACACATGATCCATTTGGGGATGCATACACACAAAAACGCACATATACACACACACCAAGCATATATATCCACACAAATATTTCACAGTTAAAAACTGCTGCTATTTGGAACACACTGAAAAGAAAATGAAATAACAAGCTGTAGATTTTGAGAAGAAAAAATTTTTTGTTGATTTTTGTTTTTCGAGACGGATTTCTCTGTGTAGCTTTGGAGCCTATCCTGGCACTTGCTCTATAGACCAGGCTGGCCTTGAACTCACAGAGATCCTCCTGCCGGATTTCCATCAAGGCTAACTCCCACGCTCGCTCGGGTTTTACTGGCTGCTTATGTGACTGGCTGCTTATGTGACCAGCTCTGAGGGTTGGCTCTGAGGGGTTTGCTTCAATTGCCAGTGCTGTCTTTTCCCAGAGCTGTTTCCTCAGTCTCAATTGCCAGTGCCGTCTTTTCCCAGAGCTGTTTCCTCAGTCTCTCAGTGGCATTCTGCTTTCAGCCAGACTTCATGTCATTAACTCTAGCTGAGTGGTAGAGCATTTGCCTAGAATTTTCCAGACCCTAGTTTCAATCCACCGTACTGAAAGGGGAAAAAAAAAATCCTATTTTCTGGCTCCCTAGTCCTTTTGCAAAGCTGGCAACACCGGATCAAGCCTTCAAGTTCACACTAGGGCGCACAGTGGTGTTTAGGGCCTGTCTAACTCTTAGCTGCTTCTCTCGGTCCAAACTACACAGGCCAAGACTGGCCTGTCTTAGTGTGTTCCACGGTAAGTAGGAGGTGCAACCTTTAAGTCCCTCATGCCCAGTCCTCAAACGCAGGCAGCCTAGCTAGCACAAGGTCGCAAATCGGGACAGAGCGCGACCACAGGGCTCCAGCAGACGGCGCTGTGGTCCGAGTTGCTGCTATGGCCGTGCGTTTCAAAGGCCTCACCCTCAGGGCCAAAGGCAGTGGAGGATCAAGATCCAGAGACGCTTCCCACAGTCAGACATCCCGGCGCCCACATACCTTGCTCTCGCAGGAGCGCTCCGCCGAGCTCACAGATACGGCCTGGATCAGCAGCAGCAAGACGAGCGGAATCAGGAAGCCCGCAGCGGGCACAGCCACGAGGATGCTGTCCAGCTAAGGAGCTACACCTGGTCCAGCTCGTTCTCCCCTCTCCACCATACTCCGGCCTCCTTATCCCACCACGCTGTGGCCCTGCTTCTCCCTTTTAGACCTTAGTATGTGACTCCACTAGGTTCTTAATACTTCTAAGTTTTTGTTCTGGTTTTTTACTCCATTTCGCTACGCTCGTCGGCCCACACTGAGCCTCTCAAGTGGCCATCACTGGCTCCAGGCTCTGAGATCTCATCTGTCACCTGCCTCAACCTCTCCCCCACTGCTCCTCACGCGGGTCCTTGGACATATGCAGATACGCCATAACCTTGTCCACGGAGAAGGGCAGATGGCTTGTGCGAATTAGGAACATCAGGCAGGTGACCAGCAGGGCGCCTGAGTAGAGGCAGAGGGACATGACCAGCAGCATGAAGAGGCGGAAGTTGCGGTGACCGATGCAGTTATTAACCCACTTGCAATGATGATCAAAATCCTGTGACAGAGAGGGGAGTAGGCCTCCAGGATCCGTCCCTTGACCCATCACCCAAACAACTCAGCCCTGTAGTCACTTACTCTTGCTCTCCACCCCCCACACACACACACACATACACCCTGACTTTCATCCCCAGGAGGGATCCTGATGACTAAAGTCCCTAATGCTGACATTTCCGGGTAGAACACAATTAAGACCGTGTCTTGAGACCTGTCCTGTGTAGTTTTCCGTGGAACATAGACTATCTCTGGGGCTTTCCTTTCTCATCTTTTAGGTGAAGATAAAAAAACAGCCTTGCCCAGTCAGCATCTTTCCCCACATCTGTAAGAAGGGGTGGTGCCAGCGCGTGTGAGACAAGCTTGTACAAACCAGGGGACCCAACTGAAGGGTTTACCCAGCGACAGCAAACCGGGAGGTGGAACGGGACAGTCTTCCCTGTCCCCTTCCCGGGGTCAGAACACATGAAAGTGCCCATGTTGGCATGCCAGCCTCCCTGGACAGATGCAGGCACAGAGGCAGTGACCTGTGTGAGGGGCCGAGATCAGGTGGGCATGCTGTCACCCTTGGCCCTCACCAGTCACCAAAGTCTCATGCCCACTCCTGGGTCACATATGAGGGGGCTTTAGGCTCTGGCCAGGAGGGTGACAGGTTAGCAAACAGACCAGCAGCAAGGGGGACCTCACCTCCACACAAATGTTGCACCAGGGGCAGTGGCAGGTCCGGGGTGGGCGATGAAAGCAGCACTTAGGGCACCATTGCAGGCGGAAGGCCCCTTGGTTCACACTCACCACGTGCACCGTCATGGGGTCCTCATTGATGGAACCTGATTGGGAAGAGGGTCAGGCAGTAGCCTTCACACTGCTGCTCCGGCAGCCCTACTGCAGCACTGGGCACAGGGAATGTCGGAAGGGGTGGACAAGGGAATCCCTGACCTAACGGAGCAAGCTGACCATGGGGGTGGGGAGAGAGAGAGAGAGGTTGGGGGCATGCTCCAACTAGCCTTGTGTGTAGAACTCTGCCTTTGAAACACTGGTAGCATTTGATTTTGTGTGTAGTGGGAAGATGGAATGAAGACTATTGAAGACAGTACAGTTTGGACAAACCTAGCAGCTTCCTTCTCCAGTCTGTGTAACCCAGCCTTCTGAAGCAACTGGAAAACACCCAGGATCCTGTCCCCTGAGCATGCGCGCGCGCACACACACACACACACACACACACACACACACACACACACACACACCTTGGTGGCTCAGGAAATGAAATGCTAAGCCGGAACAGCACTGCCATGGGGTATAGCGGTTCCGAGACTAGAGGTGGGGCACTGGCCTTTGGAGTGCCACCTCCTCCTTCTAGGGGGTTGAGTCCTCACCTCGGTGTAAGATACCAGGATCTGAGAAGTTGAGCGAAACGAGACTGTAGAAGGTGAGGATGAAGAGTGGGCCCGTGACCACGGGAAAGGCCCACTCTCCGTTCTGAGCCAGCCACCTACAACTGAGACCACAGCCCCTTTCAGTCATCAGCTGGAACAAGCCCGAGCTCCTTCCCAGGCCCTGTCCAGCTGGGTTAGGATACACAGAACTTGCAGCCAGCTCTAAGTATCCAGGTACGCGACAGACTCACAGAGGCCCCACCAAATGTCACCTCATTATCAGTTACATTTACCCTGCACCCCACTCCCAGGCACCAATACTCCAAAACTCTGTCTGCACATTTCCTTACGAGACAGGTGCTCCCTGGGCCTTCCATTACTTCTTCCTGCATCCCTCTGGTTCCGTACTATCTTTACCTTTCATCCTGTCTCCAAATAAGAAACCTACAGATGATATGGGACACTCACGGGAACCCGAAGAAAAGGCCACTCAGAAAGACCAGCAGCATTACATTGAAGGCAGCAAACAGGCTCGGGAGGAACCATGACAGTGGGACCACAGGCAGCTGCTGCGTCTCCTTCACAAGGGTCATGGTGTCTTTCAAGAGCGGCATGGCTAGGACAGAGGACATGGCACAGCTGGTCAAGTGGTTGCTGTGCAAGCATGAGTTCAGTCCACAGGTCCCATGTCAAAGCAGGGTGTGCTGGTATATACCTTTAGCGGCCACAAGAGACTCCCTGGGGCTTATTGGCCAGGCACCCCAGCCAAACGGCAAGCTCCGAGGTTCAGCGGAGAGACCTTGTCCCAAAAAGTGAAGTGTGGTTAATTAAGGAAGACAACAGACTTTTGACCTCTCTCTCTCTCTCTCTCTCTCTCTCTCTCTCTCTCTCTCTCTCTCTCTCTCTCTCTCTCTCTCTCTCTCTCACACACACACACACACACACACACACACACAAAGGTGGGGGGTGATTATCATGCTCACAAGGCAAGTATGAGCCACTAGCTACTTTTTCCCTAATGACTCCCAGAATTTCATTGCCATAGCAACACAGACCCCAGCCCAAGAAAGGAGAGAAAAGGTCTCAGTGTGATGTCACAAAGGCAGAGGGATTGAGGCTCTGTCTGCTTTTGGTCACTTTCAGTACCAGCCATCCTCCTCTGGGGTTTGTCCCCCAGAGGGTCACATGCTGCAGCCCTGTTGATGTGTTTGGGGGTCTCAAGAGAGGGGTTGTCAGGGACACTGACTTTCAAAGTGAGTGATGTAGTTTCATGCACCCCCATTTAGCAGGTCATAAAAAAAAGTGCAGGACTGACTTCTCCCCAGTCACAGAATCTCTTGGTCATGTGGCTTCCTGGTGAACACTACTTCACCCCAGACAGAACTGATGATAGGCCAGAGGACCGATCCCACCCAAATCTAGCTGGGTGAACCAATAATTACTGAACTTACTTAAAGAATCATGGTGGATTTGAAAACATCAGTGAAAAGCTCACAAGAGCTGAATACCTGGAGTGCCCTACACAATGCAGGCAGGCCTCAGGACTAGTGTACCTTTCTGAGTTTCTCTGGTCTTGTCAATTTCATTACCTTCCCATCCTCCCTCCAGGAGGAGTGTTTCAAGATAGAGCTATGCAACCCCCTCTGCCCATAATTGTCCTGGCTATGATGTCCTTTGCCATGTAAGGCAGTCAAGGGGACCTTCACCAAAGGTCAATGCTTTTGGCTGGTAATCTTTAAGCCTCCAAAACTATGAGCTAAATACATTTCTTTTCTTTAAAGTCCCATGCTTGAGTATTTTGTTGTAACACAGAATATAGGCTTTTTCAAAGATCATATGACATTTGGGGTTGGGTATTTAGCTCACTGGTAGAGCACTTGCCTAGGAAGCGCAAGGGCCTGGGTTTGGTCCTTAGCTCCAGGAAAAAAAAGATCATATGACATTCAAAAGCACTTATGAAGGCCACTGGTTTACATTATCTTTTCAGGTCCAGTGCTAACTGAAACCAACACACCCATTGTGTTCATCTCAGCTGAATGGTTTTCCAGAATTATCACCATGTCACAGTTTTGCTCAAAGAGACAGGAACGGTGTTGAACGGGTGTGGAAAAGCTTTTCTCCCAACTAAAGGAGGGAAGATGCAGGTGACAGAACTCTGCCCCCTTCTGTCTGTCTTAAACAAGACATGCTGCAGCGACAAGTCAGTGGGCTACCAACACGCAACCTGTGGTGTTGTTGAGTGGTTGCCCCAGCCCTGAACTGCCTCCCTGAGTGTTAAGAGGAAGCTGCTGGGCTTTCCACTGTGTGGTGCCAAAGCATGATGTGTTTATTGGCCGTGTTTATCTGGCGACAGAGCACCCGGACCTCTGACATAGTATTCTTCCCACCCACATATTCTCTCTCTCTCTCTCTCTCTCTCTCTCTCTCTCTCTCTCTCTCTCTCTCTCTCTCTCTCTCTCTCTCTCTCTCTCTCTCTCCCCCTCTCTCTGTGTATATGTCTGTCTGTCTGTGTGTGTGTGTGTGTGTGTATCACATACCCATACATATGGAAATCAGAAGAGAGCCATCCAGAGTGGGTCCCAGGGATTGAACTCAGGTCATTAGGCTTGGCAGCAAGTGCCTCTGCCATCTGAACTATCCTTCTGCTCCTAAGCCATAGTGTTTTTTTTGTTTTGTTTTGTTTTGTTTTGTTTTATTTTTGGTTTGTTTGTTTGTTTTTCTAGACAGGGTTTCTCTGTGGCTTTGGAGGCTGTCCTGGAACTCGCTCTGTAGACCAGGTTGGTCTCGAACTCACAGAGATCCTCCTGCCTGCCTCTGCCTCCCTAGTGCTGGGACTAAAGGCATGCGCCACCACCCCTGGCAAGTCATAGTTTTATAATAATTTAAGTTTGAGAAAACTACAGCTTTCTTATGAACATTCCAGAAAAGTTAAATTACAATGGCACTTATTAGTGTCTATGACAAACTCCATAAAGAACATGACATGTGTAAGGATAGGCACCTAAGGCCAATCGGATGTGCAAAGTGTAGTTTCCAGTGCCTTTATTTATCATGGCAATGAGACTGCCTTCAAAGCTCTGTAAGATCTAGTTTTCATGCCAGGCAGCATGAATCCCAGCACTTGGAGGCAAAGGCAGGCAGATCTCTGTGAGTGAGTTCAAGGCCAGCCTGGTCTACAGTGAGTTCCAGAACAGCCAGAGCTACATAGTGAGACCCTATTACAAACAAACAAACAAACAAACAAAACTAGTTTTGTTGTTGTTCTACTAAATGCACCAGTTCTGTTACAATGCCCATGTTTGAGATGTGTATTTATTTGTTTCGGTGTATGCATGCACATATGTGGGGGGGGCTATGACCGTGTTTGAGATGTGTGTTTAAGTTTGTTTCGGTGTATGCATGCACATATGTGTGAGTGGGGGGAGGAGGCTACAAGAGGTCAGAGGAGAACTTTTGGGGGTCAGTTCTCTCACCTTTAACCTTTTTGAACATGGTCTCTCTTGTTTCAACTCCTGTACTGTACCATCCCCCCCCTCTTTGTGTGTGTGTGTGTGTGTGTGTGTGTAAGTGTGAGTACACATGTCAGTGCATGTGGAGGCCAGAGGACATTATCAGGTGTCGTCCTCAATTGCCCTTTACCTTTTCAAAAATAAGGGTTTTTTATTTTAGTTTTTTGGGTTTATGTGTTTTATTTTATATGTCAGTTACTTGCCCGAATATATGCATGTGCACCACATACACGCTTGGTGTTCACAAAGATCAGAATTGGGTATCAGATCTCCTGGAACTGAAGTAAAGGATGGTTATGAATCACCATGTGGGTGCTGGGAATCAAACCTCAGTCCTTTGCAAGAGCAACAGGTGCTTTTAACCCCTCAGCCACCTCTCCAGCTCCAATAAGATTTGTTTAGTTGTGTTTATGTGTATTTTGCGGGTCTGTGTGAGCATACGCCATGTGTGTGCATGTGTGTGCATGTGTGTGCAAGTGCCCGCAGAAGCCAGAAGAGAAGCATCAGAGCCCCTGGCTCTAGAATCACAGGAGGTTGTGGGCTGCTCAGATTGGGTGCTGGGGAGTGAACTTGAGTCCTCTGGAAGAGCAGAGTGCTCCATAACCACTGAGCCATCTCCCCGGCCCTCTACCTTAGAAAGGGAGAGGGAGGGAGGGAGGGAGGAAGAAAAGAAAGGAAGGAAGGAAGGAAAGAAAGAAAGAAAGAAATCTCACTATATAGCCTTGGCTGGCCTGGACTCACTATGTAAACCAGGCTGGCCTTAAACTCATAGAAATCCTCTGCCTCTGCCTCCTGAGTGCTACCACTGCCCAGCTCACTTTAATTTTTGAGACCGAGTCAATGAACCTGGAGGTCACCAATTCAGCTAGGCTGACTGATCAATGAGCTCCAAACATCTAGTATCTGCTACATCCCCTCAAAACTAAAAATAAATCTTAACAAATAGTGACCAGCCAGGCAACATAGTTGTTTGATATCAGCAAACAACAAAAGCAAACTAAGACAGGACTTTAAAGATCTGCTTGGCTGGAAAAAGGGTGTGAAAAGTCTGGGACTTTCTGTATATTAACTAGCTGCTTCTGCAATCACCGATTTTAGCTGTTTCTTCTAGATAGCTGCCAAGCTAACCCAGACAACTGCCAAAGAGAGAAACTCCCCACTTTTTTTGTTTTATTTTGTTGGGTTTTTGTTTTTTGAGACACGGTTCCTCAGTGTACCCCTGGCTGTCCTGGAATTCATGGTGTAGACCAGACTGCCCTCAAACTCAGAAATCTGCCTGCTCCTGCCTCCGGAGTCTGGGATTAAAGGCGTGCGCCACCACACTCTGCACAGAAGTTCTTCTTTTCTTAATTAACTAATTAATTAATTATGGGGGTTCGAGACAGTGTTTCTCTGTGTAGCCTAGACTGAACTGTAACTCACTCTGTAGTCCTTCTTAAATAAGATAACTTTTCTTTTACCTCTTTATTTTTCCTTCCTCCTTTTGTCCCTATCAAATCTCTACTAAGAGGGATGTCTTCCAGCTACATTAGAGCAATGCCTGTTGCCAGTTAGGTAGCACCAAAGGCTTGCTCCCATTTCTTTTCTTCTTCTCCTTGTTGTCCTTCTCCTTTTCCTCCTCCTCCTCCTTCTTATTTTAACATTATTATTATTGTTTTTTTTTTGAGACAAGATATCTCTGCAGCTTTAGAGGCTGTCTTGGAACTAACTCTTGTAGACCAGGCTGGTCTCAAACTCACAGAGATCCACCTGCTTCTGCCTCTTGAGTGCTGGGATTAAAGGCGTGCGCCACCAACGCCCGGCTAGGAAGCATGATTCTTATGTGCAGAAAAGTACGCTCAAGAAAGACAAAGGACCCCTAAATTAACAATGAACCTAAGCTGATCATTAGAGACTTGACACTGTCAGGTCAGCACTAGTCTCCAATCTGTCTATGAATCAATGTAATTCCCTCCTGTTTTTCATCTTTTGGTTTCTTCAAGACAAGACACCAGTTAGCCCAAGCTAGCACCCTAGATCCAAGGGTAACTTTGAACTCCTGACCCCCTCACTTACATCATGAAAATGCTGGGACTACAGCTATGCAGCACCGCAGCTGGTTTACGCCATGCCAAGGTTGGAAACCTTCATGAGTACCAGGCAAACACTCTACCAATTTAACTACATCCCTGTTGTGGGGTATTCACCAGAGACGACTGTGCTGACATGCATTGTTAGCTGGCCAGTGACTACACTGGATGCTCAGGATCCCTGAACCTTTCTCAGGATGAGCTTTTAAACACAAAACCCAGGTTCTGGGTTGGCACACTTCAGTTAGCAAGAATGAACAGTTAGCCCAGAGCAGAACTACAGAAGCCCAAAAGCAAGGATTGGGCAGGTGGTGCTGTCTACATGCTGAGTGTTACAGCCTGACTGGTATTTCCAACATGGAGTCAGCTGGGCTAAAGTCTGGGGCCATGTTACAGTCCCCAGCCCCAATCCATGCATCATCTGCCCAGATTCCATCTGACAGGCTGGGGACACGGCTCAGTGGTTAAAGCA